GGACACATGACCTTTCATGTGAAATGTAACACCTGATGGCTGGTTAATGGTGTAGTAACACCTGATGTTAATGGCTGGTTAATGGTGTAGTAACACCTGGTTAATGGTGTAGTAATACCTAAAACATTTTCAGGTTAATGGTGCCATCTATCTCAGCCTTAAGTGGCTGATGTAACCATTGGTTCTCCCTCAGAGGTGGAAGTCCTATAAATAGGACATTGAGTTGCAGAGAAGACACACAACATTGCATGCATCTGAAAACTCTCAAAGCCTCACGCATCATATAAAAAGTGCTCAGTTCTCGACTTCCCGTTCGTCGAAACTATGAAGGCTGGTGCGCTACAGCTTCCGAGTGTTTAGCCGTTGTATCTTTGGGGACATTACGCACAGACCCGTCAGCACTATACGGGGCGTATTTATCTTGCGGAAAGATTTCAATTTCCTCGGCTCTAATCTGTCCGCATTCGAGTTGTATTTTACACTTCTTCTTTTAGTTCTTCTTGTACGAACTGAACACTTTAGTCAGTTCATAGGTTCCCGTTGTAATTCAAAACACACATTGTGTAACAATCGCAAGACAAATATTGAGACCTACTGAACTGATGGCATCCGCTGGAGAAGGATCAACAACTCAACTACCTGTCACCCCTGCTGTTCATCATCCCCAACCTGCTGTTCATGTTCCCACTGCTGAGAAGCCCGAAAAATTCAACGGGCTTGATTTCAAGAGGTGGCTGTTAGTGTTATTTTTGTTATATTTTTATTAATGTTTTTTATTATTATTTTTATGTATTTTTAGTAATTTTGTGGGATTTTGGGTAGTTTTTAGTTTTTTTAGTAATTTGTAATATTTAAGTATTTGTGTGGATTTTTGTATATTTTTCTTATATTTTTCGAGTATTTGTAAAATAAAGGAGCGGTCGAAAATCTCGGAAGAGCAGGATATTGGAAATTTATTGGGCATGATCACATTAATAGAGAGAGGAGCTCGTTAGCTACACACAGGAAAAAGCGGAACTCAATTTCGAGTTCGGATGAGTTCGTACGGACCAAAGCGTAAAATCGAGCAAGTTGCCGACACCATGGAAGTTAAAAATCCCTAGATAATTGTATTCTGGGAGACATTTATATTGGCATACATCATTGGATAGAGGGGTTCATTAGCTACGCGTAGGAAAAAACGGAATTCAATTCCGAGTTCGGACGAGCCCAAAACAAGCCCGAGAAGCAGAGCTGCCCGAGACGTGCGCGAATGCGCGCGGAAAAATCACTTTCGGTTTTGGTCCGAAAATTCCATCTTTTATCTCAAATTTCCTATCTTCTTTCACTTTTTCTTCCATTCTTTCTTTGGTAGATGAATTGTGGTTGATTTTTAGTTGAATTGTGGTTATTGTTGGTAAATTGTGGTTGATATTGGTGGATTATGGTTGATGATATATCTATAAATAGCTCCATCATCTAACCAACATCTATCCCTCACAATCCAAAATATTATCATCCTCACCACTACCATCATTTTTATATGTTGTCTTAGATTAGTTTCTCTTTTGGTTGTGAATTTTGGAGGTGTTCTCCAAGGCTTGTACTTGTTCCGGTGTGGCGTGCATTTGTTTTTGGTTTGGTGTTTGTATCAACTTTATTTCTCGACTTGGATTACTTGTAAGTTGTTTTTCTTATAATGATAATTTGCAATGAATCTTATGTTGAGTTTATTGTTTTTATATGAATAGCTAAATCATTTGCTAGGGATAGGGATGAATATTTGATTTCGTATGTGATTATCGTACTCGTCGATTGTTCACTTTGTATGAGTTAATTCTAAATTCGGTTTTTGATTTTTACTTTGGAATGACATATTGTTGAAAAATGACAATTCAACCTTGCAATTGATTTCTAAGTATTGAAGAGTGACACTTCAATGTTAAACTTGTTTTCAAATTGAATATGATGTGTTCTATTGTGACGATCACTATCCGAATAGACTAGACGACTAAAAATCCTATAGTCTATTTTAATTGACTCTTGAACCGAAAGGGAAGAGGTCAATCGATCGAGACTCATACAAAATAGACATAATCCGAAAGGTATTGTCTATGTGTTAAACAACTCGTTAATTTATCGTTTATATTTATTCTCATAATCCAAAAGGTATTGAGGATAAATCTCTAAACGTGTAGGTGACTCGAATTCTTTAACCGAACAATCACAAGTCGATAATTGCATTTCGATTCAAAACATTATTCCCGATTCCCTAGTATCTTTCGCATTTTCTTCATTTATCATTTTAGTTGTTTTATATTATTTATAGTTAATAATGAATCATTATCAATCTATCTTGATTAGAATGTTTAGGATTTATTTTGTTTTTATGTGCTATCAATATCAATTCTAAATTCCGAATAGTCTTCCTCAAGAGAACGACCCGGGAAACGAATCATTTGATTCGGTGCTCGGTAAAATAAAAATAATTTGTACACAACAAATTTGGCGCCGTTGTCGGGGACTTTTTCGTTTGAAAGTTTTACTAGTAAAACGACTTTTTCGTCTGAAAGTTTTTACGAGTAAAACGACTTTTTTTTTTTCTCGTTGGAAAGTTTTACGAGTAAAACGACTTTTTCGTTTGAAAGTTTTTACGAGTAAAACACCTTTATCGTTTGAAAGTTTTACTAGTAAAACGATTTTTTTTCTTTATCGTTTGAAAAAAAATCTTTATTTTCTTTGTTTTTCTTTATTTTGTCTTTATTTTTGTATTTTCTTTCTTTTCGTGGCTACGTGTGGTTGTTCTGTTTTGGTGTGCAGGAATTATGAACTTCCACCGTGCTTTCTCATATGTCCACACCCAATCTTGGGTAAACGAGCTGAGCTATCACACCGGGTACCATGTCCAACCTTATCCATACTCTTCTGAACAACGCTGGGACACCTTCCCGGTAGAGCAATATTACGAGTCCCACGAGTTCAACGAGAAGCTCGATCGTATCTATGCTTTTGCATCATCCCAGTTAGCTCAGGAAGAAGAGACCGCAACTCGGTGTGCCCCTCTGAATCAGTCACTTCCATACCACGATTCTTGGGACTATGATCAAACTTGGACATACCCCTACGAGTACCAGTGGGATTCTTGGCCTATTGAGCAGTCACACGAGTTTTTTTAGGACTCCTCAGAATACAATGCAAAGCTTGACCAGGTCCTCGCTTTTTCAGCCTCCCAAGCGGCTCGAATGAGCAATATTAAGTTCAGAATCGAGAACATAGTAGAGCGCGTGCAAGTCTTGGAGGATCTAGTTACCAATGTCTCTTCCCAAGTCGATTATCCACACTTTATGCTTGATACTCAAGCCCGTATGATGAAGCAAATGTGTGAGGCAGAAGAAGAAGAGGATGAGCTCCACCGAGACGTTGATGATATTT